CCCCAGCCACTTGGCCTTTCAGCTTTAGCAGCCTTGGCCCCCCACACCCCAGCCCACTATTACCCCAGCCTTGTGTCTTTGCCAGCCCCCAGCCACACCCCCCAGCCACCCCCCCAGCCACCCCCCAGCCACCCCCCAGCCACCCCCAGCCACCCCCCAGCCACCCCAGCTCCCCAGCCACCCCCCCACCCCCCAGCCACCCCCCAGCCACTCCCCAGCCACCCCCCCAGCCACCCCAGCCAGCCACCCCCAGCCACCCCCAGCCACCCCCCAGCCACCTCCCCAGCCCCCCAGCCACCCCCAGCCACTCCCCTCCCCCCCCCCCAGACACCACAGGACCCCAAGATGAAACTGATTACATTTCAAATTTATCAGGATCCTTCGAGTGGCATGAGAGTCCTACAAGTCCTATAGGAGATCATCATCCTAGAGCTTACGAGTCCTGGAGATCCTTCGAGTGACACCCAACACAAAGGACCTCAACATACGAAAGGACATCACAACTCCTGAAGGATTCGTGTCGGTGTTGTATCTGTAGGACTCTCAATAAGGATAATTTTAAAGGATTCAATTGTATATTTATCCTGTCGTCCTTTTTTTCCTCACTATGGAAGGAAGGAAGGAGTGGAAGGAAGGAAGGAAGGAAGGAAGGAAGGAATGGAAGAAAGGTTTTATAGGAGGTAAAGTCTCTGAGAATGTTTGACGCCATTTTATCCTTTACTATAAATTTATGTCTTTGTTGAAGTGGTTTAGGTTAGGTTAGGTTAGGTTAGGTTAGGTTAGGTTAGGTTAGGTTAGCACTGGTGCCCTTTAGGCGTGGGGCCCATTAGGACTGGGGCCTAAAAGTACTGGGGCCCAGGTAGTCAGGGGTGATGGGGTTAGTGTAGTGGACCTCGCCATGGGGCCCTGACCAGACCTGTACTAGTGGTGTGTTTTGCATAAGTATGAGTCTTGTCTGTCTGTCTGTCTCTGCAAATTCTGTTTACAGCCCATATGTCTGTCTATCTGTCTATCTTTATCTATCTGTCTGTGTTTTTCTATTTGTATACGTGTCTGTATGTCTGTCTGTCTGTCTCTGTTCCTGTCTGCCTCTGTCTACGTATCTGTTTCAGTGTCTGTCTATAACAAAACAATAACGTAATAGAAAATCCTTATGGCATTTTACTCATAGGGAATCACTGCTTAAAACAAATCACCTTAAATCACCACACATTAAGGGGAGAAACACCTTCAACAAATCACCTTAAATCACCACACATTAAGGGGATAAACACCTACAACAAATCACCTTAAATCACCACACTTTAAGGGGATAAACACCTACAACAAATCACCTTAAATCACCACACATTAAGGGGATAAACACCTAAAACAAATCACCATAAATCACCACACATTAAGGGGATAAACACCTAAAACAAATCACCATAAACCATCACACATTAAGAGCTGCGTACCTAAAATAACTTTAATTTACTAAGGGAATACATACTTAAAATAAAATACCACTTTTAACCTTTCCACACTTGAAAAAATATACTTCCAAACTCATTATTTTCCACATAAATATTTAAATGTCCTCAAGTCACCATATTTAGGGCGTTAAGGAAAGTGAATGTGTTTTTTTTTTTACATGCGTGTTGAGTTTCAATTAAAAAGTATCGATAAAAACTGGAATCTGTCTTTTTGGTGAACTGGAAATATATAATAAAGATATATTCCGGGTTATATGAGAGTCTGGGGTGACCTTGTGTATGTGTAGTGCCCTATATCTGAGAGAGAGAATAAGGAAGGGTATGGGTAGACGAGAGTTGAAAGAGAAATAGAGAGAGAGAAAATTACAAAAAAGAGATAACAATCTCTCTCTCTCTCTCTCTCTCTCTCTCTCTAAGGCTAAAGGTTGACTTAATTAGAACGATTATCTTATCGGTCCGTCAGTAGATATCAAGTTATATATAAAAAAATGAGTTATTTAATTTTTTTACCAGTCTCTCTCTCTCTCTCTCTCTCTCTCTCTCTCTCTCTCTCTCTCTCTCTCTCTCTCTCTCTCTCTCTCTCACAATTTAACAACAAAACATTATATATGTGAAGAGTAAATCAACAAATATAAAGACAATAAGCAAAAAATAACAATAAATAAAGGAAAAATGCAATAAAACAATAAAGAATAAGAATACAGAATCCAACTCCTTTCATCTCCCGACTTACGATGACGATAAAGGATTGGATCAGACCTTAAGGGCATCCAACCCTACATAAGGTATCCGATCCCCTTTGTAAGCACCCTTATGATAAACCCCTTCAACCAACTCACTACTCATAATGACTCAATTACCTCTACCGTCTTTAACAAGCTGAGGTGTCGTTAATCAGGGAGAGTTACTTATGTTAATCCCTCGTTAAATGTGTTTACTTAGCAGTTTTGGGTCGTTAAGTAGCCCCAGGTAATAATAGGTCATTGGAGATTAGTTTAATGATATAATCGTGTGTATGTGTGGTGGGCAACACACACACACACACACACACACACACACACACACACACACACACACACACACACAGATACGTGTTTGTCAGACAGTAATGATATAGCTTACCTGCGAGAGACAGACAGACAGACAGACAGACAGACAGACAGACAGACAGATAAAGATAGACAGGTGGATAATGGATGACCCAACAATGACCGTGACCTCATAACAGATAAGATAAGGTCAAAGGTCACTGGGATTATTGATTAGATTGTAGGTACGTTGGGTAGTATAGAGAAGCTGACCCCAAAAGTTGACCCCAGATAACCCCAGAAGTTAACCCCAAATATTGACCCCAGGTACTAACCCCAGGTATGTGTATGAGTATATATGTGTGTGTGTGTGTATGTGTGTGTGTGTGTGTGTGTGTGTGTGTGTGTGTGTGTGTGTGTGTGTGTGTGTGTGTGTGTGTGTGTGTGTGTGTGGGGGTTTGTGTATGTGTAAGTGAAGATTCATTTGTAAATACAGTGTATGCCACTTTATATATGGGTAGTGTGTGTACACGTGCCGCATGTAGCAAAAAGTATGTTACAGTACACACACACACACACACACACACACACACACACACACACACACACACACACACACACACACACACAGAACACACACACACACACACACACACACACACACACACACACACACACACACACACACACACACACACACACACACACACACACACACACACACACACACACACACACACACACACACACACACACACACACACACACACACACACACACACACACACACACACACACACACAAATAATAAAAAAAAGACTTAAGTTACGATAATTTTAGGGCGGCATCTGAGAATCTTCCTCAACTTACGACAATTTAAGAGATAATGCTCGAGACGAGAGACTGAGGGAGGTATCTCTTGGTGGGGAGAGAGAGAGAGAGAGAGATACAGGTAACTAGTGAGAGATGAAGAGAGAGAGAGAAAGAGAGAGGGGATAATAATGTATGAAGGAGAGAGACGGAGACCAAGAGACAGAGACAGATAGACAGACAGACAAAGAGACAGTGACAGATAAACGAGACGACCAAACAATTCACCTTCACCATAAATTAAAAGACGTGGGTCAACCTCTTAAGGCAGTGTTTGTTTGCTGTTGTTTTTTTCTGTTTTTTCTTCGTGTTTGTGTGTTTTTTGTTTATATATTCATGTATGTTTGTTTATTTAACCTTATCTTACCTTACATTACTTTACCTTACCTAAACCTACCCTACACCTAACCTAAACCAATCTAGTGTTTTAATGTGAAAATTTCTGACTTTGGTTTAATTAAATCTTTGACGAGAGAGATATTAAGTTTTAACTGCGATCATTTACACACATGTTTTATACTAATTACATGGGTTATTAAGATGATTTGATTCATATCTATCTATCTGTCTGTCTGTCTGTCTGTCTGTCTGTCTGTCTGTCTGTCTGTCTGTGTGGGGGGAGAGTCATCACAGTGGAAGGAAGAATTTGAGGAAGAGGAGGAGGAGGAAGAGGAGAGGGAGGAGGAGGAGGAAGACCATCTTACACCCTTGATCAGTAACGTTCTCTACAACCCTCAAGAACTTCACCTTTTTCCCCTCACTTTACATCTCCGTCCACCTGTAGGTCCGTCTCTAGACCTTGGGGGGGGGAGGGATTGCTTAACGTCCTGTACCTTTCCCTGCAGGTAAGTGTCAAGGAAACCAGGCTCTTTGTGGCTTCTTCTTCCCCTTCAGTAGAAAGATGGTGTGGGTCTCTCTCTCTCTCTCTCTCTCTCTCTCTCTCTCTCTCTCTCTCTCTCTCTTGGTCTTTTCTGAAATGACTGCACATCCATCTGTTGCATTTTCTTGTGGGAGGTTTTATGTGTTGGTGGCTTTGACTTGTGTGGTAAGGGAGGGCTGTCTCTTGATGGTCACCTCTCTCTCTCTCTCTCTCCTCTCTCTCTCTCTCTCTCTCTCTCTCTCTTTCTCTCTCTCTCTCTCCTCTCCATAACAGCATAAGGACCCAGTTGTAAAATAAGCGAGAGTGTTGCCTTCTGGTCGTCGGGGGAACAGAATACTCCTCCTCGCCTCGAACACTAAAGTTGATGTTGGTGGCGGGTCGTCAAAGGAGGAGGAAGAGGAAAATATGAGGAAGAGAGTAAGAAGAGGAGGAGGATAAGGATTGCTAGAAAGAGAGAGGGCAAGAAAGGGCAAAAAAAAGTCGACCTTCTACCCCATCCCTAGCTCGTCCCTCTCAGCCAAATTTGGTATAAACGAATGAACTAACCCTTTAAGACCAGTGATTTAACGTACCATCTTCAAAAGGGTTAAACCATCCTTTTTAATTAAACCACCGACCTGTTAAACCACCGTCCTCTTAAACCAACATTCTCAAAAGGTTAAACAATCACGATTAAGGAATTAAGCACAAAAATAAATAAATAACACAAAAATCAGGACAGAAATAAAAGACGATCACAAGAGACAAATGACGATCACAAAAAACAAAAGACGATCACGAGAGACAAACAAAAGACGATCACAAGAGACAAATGATGATCACAAAAAAACAAAAGACGATCACAAGAGACAAAAGACGATCACAAGAGACCCAACACTGAACAGGTAAGTCAAGGTCACCCACTCCAATCATTTACGTTGGTTACCTGAAGATTAGATGTTCCTTGTATGGAGGTTGACAGTCGGAAGGATAGATGGATGATTGGATGGGTGAATGAATGGATGGATGAGTGAATGGACGGTTGAACGGATAGATGGATGGATTGGTGGGTGGGTGGATTGATAGATGAGTGGACGGATAGACAAACGAACGAACAGATGGATGGATGGATGGATGGATGGATGGATGGATGCCACCTTTGCTTCAAGCTGAACGCGGAATAATACGCGATGAATCTCTCTCTCTCTCTCTCTCTCTCTCTCTCTCCCTTTCCAGCTGTAATATCATTATGATCTCCTCACAACATAACCTTGATTAACGTAACATACTGAGGACTGACCCAGCCTGACCTCTTCCCATGTGACCTCCCCCCCCCCACGTGACCCCCGTAGGTGACCTCTCCCCACGTGACCAATCACAGTTAGTACTTGGAAGTCACGCAGGAGAGTAAACACGTGATTCCCTGCTATATTACATCACCTATTCTATTGTGACCTCTCCCCACGTGACCAATCACAGTTAGTACTTGGAAGTCACGCAGGAGAGTAAACACGTGATTCCCTGCTATATTACATCACCTATTCTATTGTAAACAGCTGAGTGAGTAAACATAATAGAGATAATTATTAAATGTCAATATTCTCGTTAATTGTAATAGTTTATTTAATGCTTTATGTTCGTTGTGTAATTTATAATACATGTTTTATCTACGAGTTTATTAAAGGAATATTACGGCTCATGGATATAAGACTTGGTTGTTTACATTCACACGAGACACCAGACACGCTCACACCTGCCTGACCTGACCTCCTGCCTGACCTGACCTCCTGCCTGACACGACCTCCTCTTGAACACGACCTTTTCATGATCCAAGGGTGTAAAAAACGTGAACAACATCGGTAACTGACTAATAACATCCTGACTTACCAACACTACCCCTAACACACGGTGAATATAACACTATTCTTGTCGATTCATATCTGGTGTTTGGACGTTTCTCTCGGTGATAATAAACGAAATAACATCAAGAGAGATGAATAAACGTGTAAGGAGTTCCATTAGCTTTATAGGAAGACGAATTTTATTATAATATTTTCAGTACGTTTCTTTTATTTTGATTTTTTTGGGGGGTGGAGGTTCAGGGACGAAATTCCTCTCCTGAAGCACAATAATTATCATACCATCACTCAGTCAAGCTTTAAGTATTATATAATATCGTGTAAATATTAGAGATTAATAAGACTCTTGTTTTTATGATGGAGCCTCACGCTAGAAGCTTCAAGGATCCTGTTTAGAAGCCATTATTGTGTTGAAGACTCGCGCTTTATCAGTGTTATGGTGATCAGATAACACTGTGGTCGTTCTGGGGTCCGTCTCAAGAGGTCAGGTGAAGCAAGGAGCATCAGGAGGTCAGGTGAAGCAAGGAGCATCAGGAGGTCAGGTGAAGCAAGGAAAATCACGAGGTCAGGTGAAGCAAGGAACATCACGAGGTCAGGTGAAGCAAGGAAAATCACGAGGTCAGGTGAAGCAAGAAACATCAGGTGAGGTGAAGCAAGGAACATCAGGAGGTCATGTGAAGCAAGGAACAATAAAACCCGCACCAGGTAGTGTTAAGGCAGCTGAGGGAGGCGAGGAGGTCAACCCATATGTTGACCGACTCACTCAACCACCTGGGGAGAGTTACTGCAGGTACAATGGACCATAACCTAACCTAACCTAACCTAACCTGATCTCACCTAACCTATCCTAGCCTAACCTAACCTAACCTGATCTCACCTAACCTATCCTAGCCTAACCTAACCTAATTTAAAATAACCTTAAATAAATTATCCTTATCTCATTCACAAAGTTTGATGATGAGTGAAAGTACAATGACGTCACCTTGTTTGTACACATGACCACGCGTTCATTGTTTACGTCAAGATAAACTATAATATACACAACACTTTTATCATCCGGCACAGATCGTTACGTCAATAAAACGAATAATATTGAAATTAATCTCTAAAATATTTAATATAAAAGGAATTGCTGATTTTATCTTAACATGAAACTTATATTCTATCTGAAGATAAATCAACGTGTTAAAATTAATCTCAATTCTGGGTCAAATTTTGCAGCCATGTTGGATTAATATTATTTATGTTTGGTTTTTCGCTTAAAGTCTGATGAAAAATTATCGTAGGAACCTTTATGAATCCCCCTCTTGCCTTATGAATCCCCCTCTTGCCTTATGAATCCCCCTCTTGCCTTATGAATCCCCCTCTTGCCTTATGAATCCCCCTCTTGCCTTATGAATCCCCCTCTTGCCTTATGAATCCCCCTCTTGCCTTATGAATCCCCCTCTTGCCTTATGAATCCCCCTCTTGCCTTATGAATCCCCCTCTTGCCTTATGAATCCCCCTCTTGCCTTATGAATCCCCCTCTTGCCTTATGAATCCCCCTCTTGCCTTGTAGTGTGGTCTGGTTAATATCAGTGCTGTGAGGGATGTTTGTATATTATTGATTGTAATCGTTTATATATTTTATGTGTTGAAGAAAAAGTTTGTGATTGTTGTGTGATGTTTTTATCTTAGAGATGGTATAAAAATACTTTGTAATTATTGTAATAATTTATAATTATTGGATATATTGATGATGGTATAAGGAATTATTTAGTATATAATTTGTATTGGGATTTACACACTCTCTCTCACTCTCTCTCTCTCACACACACACACACCTAACTTAACCTGACGTAACAAAACCTAACCTAACCTAACCTAATCTAACCTAACCTAACCTAACCTAACCTTCTGGTGATGTGTTCGCCCATGACTTGATCTTTCCTAGAACGTCTTACCTTACACTCTGTCTTTTGTGTTAAATCTCGGTACACGATCTTACCTTTTACGAACAGATTCAACTCTCGCAACTGATTCCCCGAACGCCCCCCTCACCCTCCGTCCCTTCCCCCTCACCCTCCCCCTCTTCCCCCCTCTCTGCCCTTGCAACAATGACTCTGAAAGCTATTTGAACGCTTGAAATATTCGTCCCTCACCCCTGGCCCCCTTCCTCGATGGTATGTGAACGCCTCAGTACCTGCAGTTAGCCCCCTGGGAGGCCCTAAACGCCCCCTGAGACCTCCTGAACATCCCTGAGAGCTCCTGAACGTCCCTGAGAGTTCCTGAACGCCCCTAAGTGCTCATGAATGTCCCTGAGAGTTTCTGAAAGTTCCTGAGAGTTTCTGAACGTTCCTGAGAGTATCTAAACGTCCCTGGGAGTTTCTGAACGTCCCTGCGAGTTTCTGAACGTCCATGAGTCTCATTCCTTGAAATTGTCCCCCTGAGCCCTCACCCAGCCCCCTAACCTCCTCGACCTTTCCCCTTAAGAGGTCCTGAACTCCTCCAGGTCGTCCTCCAACACCCTAACTCCTCCAGGTCGTCCTCCAACACCCAAACTCCTCCAGGTCGTCCTCAACACCCAAACTCCTCCAGGTCGTCCTCCAACACCCTAACTCCTCCAGGTCGTCCTCAACACCCACAAACTAGGATACCAGAAGGACGGGTCGAACATAATTGCCTCACAAAAGCTGCCGAGTGAGACGTGACTTGTTAACTAAGCGACCATCGCCTTGTTTATCTCCCGCCAACGTGTCCACAAGACTCCGGATTCTCAGCCATTCTCACGAGGAAATGTTTCACCCCGAAGTGGCTATAACAGTTGTGGAGTTGTTGTTGTTGTTGTTGTCGGTGATAGTGTTGGTGGTATTATTGTTGGTGGTGGTAGTGTTGTTCTTGTTGTATTTGTTGTTATTGTTGTAGTTGTATTCATTGTAGTAGGCCTTTACTGTACATCTTGAGAGCCTTTATAAGACCCGAGGACCAAGACTCTTACAATACACATCATAAGTGTTGTTTCTTTTGTCAGTGTTGGAGAGACTAGGTTAGGTTAGGTTCATACACGGGTGCATAGTTTGGGGATATTATTATGCCTGAGTGAATGGCTGGTTGTAAGCCTATTCAGGTATAATAAAATACTTTCTCTCTCTCTCTCTCTCTCTCTCTCTCTCTCTCTCTCTCTCTCTCTCTTTCTCTCTCTCTCTCTCTCTACTCAAACATTCACCAATTATTTTTTCTTTATCTCTCGTTGTCCTGCCAGTAAGCAATCATTTTAACTAATAAAATCAACATCAAATAAACATAATCCATATTTAATTAAAAAAAACATGACTACCACTTTCACATAACCCTCAATTACTCACTGGTTTAATATCTTACACATGAACACATTCACATTTTCGCCCTAAGTAAAGAATCTCATCCAACACAAAGGTTATATTTACACGTCGACATTCAGAGACTTCGCCTCGGCCGTCCCTCCAACTATAGGCTGACGTATGGGAAGATGGCGGACGTTTTCTAATAGTTTATGAATCTACTACAGGTAATAAAATTTGACGAGAAGGCTGTTACCAGAGCGTCGTGAGCTGAATAGTGTTGAAATGACTATTTAAAGAGATACTTGGGTACTGTGATGGCAGGTCCCAGGGTCGAGACGCCAACACGTCAGAATAATGACTTCCGTACTGCAAAAAAAAAAAACGTTCATTTACTGTGTTTATTTACCTGCCGGTGTTGACAGGTGATGGAGTAGCGGTACATAAAGACGTAGGAGCTATGAGGACCGACTAGAAGCGGGTCCCATACGCTTGACTGACCTTTGGGGACACAGTACACAGGAGGTACTACACACTGCATACTAAAGTCCTCCCATACATAAGGTAGCAGCGTGGAGGGGCATGACAATCGACCATTCCCCCCCCACCACCCCTCCACCCCCGCCCCCACCCCAACCCCCGCTTCATCCGTTATACTAAGGACCCTTTTACAGCTGCGTGGACTGAAGAATGGCCCTGGGATCGAACCAACATCATTAGGACAAGAGTTGAGTTCTGCATCCAATCAGCCACTGCCCCCTTTGACAGACAAAATCCTTCAGGCAGAACCAAACAACACACACACACACACACACACACACACACACACACACACACACACACACACACACATGACACATATTGAATTTCGTGTACCTTCAGCAGTTTATACACACGAATATGTAGACACATAAACAACTGTACACGTCATTATTATTATCCACACTGTCTACAGCTGCTGGTTCTGCGCTGATGAATGTTGATCTGTCTATCTATCATTCACTTGCCTTCCCCTTCATTTTCCTCCTTTCTCCTTCATCTCTCCTCTTCTTCTTCCTCCCCCACATCCCTAACTTTATTATTCCTCCTCTCCTCTATCCCTCCTCCTCTCCTTCTATTCCTCGTCCCTCCTCCTCTCCTTCTATTCCTCCTCCCTCCTCCTCTCCTTCTATTCCTCCTTCCTCCTCCTCTCCTTCTATTCCCCCCACCCCATTTCCTTCCTTCTTCTCTATTTACTACCACACATATACCTGTATTACCTGTATAAAATTAGTGTCACGTGAAGATTAGCCCCCCAAGTTTATTTCACCTGATGATTAAACACCATATGTATATCCATATGTATATCCTAAGGGGTAGGGCTAGGTATTAGGGTGGTAGGTAATAATGGGGACATATACTCATTGCCTATGTATATTCTTAACCCATGTATACTCGTGATAAATCATCTATATAGACATGGATATACATAAGCACGTCACTTACTGGATAAGATTAAAAGGTTGTACTACCTGTTGATTAGCACCCAGGTACCCCCCCCCCCCTCCCCACGTGGTAGTGTGGTGGTGAAAGTGATGGTGGTTGGTGATTATTGTACGTGGTTGTTAGGGGAGAGTTGTAATAACCTTGTTTAACATTATCGCAGGAATAAGATAAGAGTTACTTTTATAAATTATTCTAGAAAATGTGTAGAAACTGAGCAGAAACACATCACGCTCGACGCCACACTGGAGCAGAAACACATCACGCTCGACGCCACACTGGAGCAGAAACACATCACGCTCGACGCCACACTGGAGCAGACACACATCACGCTCGACGCCACACTGGAGCAGAAACACACCTCACGCTCGACGCCACACTGGAGCAGAAACACATCACGCTCGACGCCACACTGAGGCAAAACACCTCACGCTCGACGCCACACTGGAGCAGAAACACCACGCTCGACGCCACACTGGAGCAAAACACATCACGCTCGACGCCACACTGGAGCAGAAACACCTCACGCTCGACGCCACACTGGAGCAGAAACACCTCACGCTCGACGCCACACTGGAGCAGAAACACCTCACGCTCGACGCCACACTGGAGCAGAAACACATTACGCTCGACGCCACACTGGAGCAGAGACACATCACGCTCGACGCCACACTGGAGCAGAGACACATCACGCTCGACGCCACACTGGAGCAGAGACACATCACGCTCGACGCCACACTGGAGCAGAGACACATCACGCTCGACGCCACACTGCATCCCGTGTGGCCAGTAGGTGAGGTGTAGTAGGTCTTAACTTACACTGATTTAAGTACACAAAGGGGCAGTTTGGCCGGCACTGCACTCGACCATCTTCACTTTACCCAACTGTAAAGTTAGGTGCTCAATCACAGCTGGGTGAACTAGGGGTGCCCCGAGGGTGAACCAGCGACCTATCTAAGAACTCAAGAGACTTTGTTTACCCAGAAACTTCTTTAATGTAAACATCCCAGGAGTGATAACTATCATTTTCCACCACCAAGTTTATTTGTTTTCTGTTCATAAGCAGTCAACAAAAGTCAAGGAGAATGCAGCTGTGTACTTCCATATTCCAGTAAAAAACTCAGTTTAAATTTTGTTCTTTGGTTGTGTCCTGAACACTGAAGAGCCAATGGTAAACAAGACAACGATGGGAATAATTCGTGCCTGTCACTATCTAGAACATCACTGGATTAAGAATATTTCCCAAGTGATTTTGTACAACAAACGTGATCCTGATCTTCAACGTGGGAAGTAACGGCAACTTACTGAGTTAGCAGAGACGCGACACTCAAGAACAAGTACAAGAACAATGATAACTGATATATAAACCGACTTGAACATACCTGCAGTATTATGGTGTGTTACGGTCCCTCGAGGAGCTGTTGAGTTTCACTTACCTGGAGGAAACAATCAGATTAACCTTCCATCTCTCTTGACTCTTATAAAAAATTTCATATTGGTTAAAGAGAAAGTCGCCACTTATACTGTGTTATATATTAGAAGGATCTCAAGAATGTTTTTTTAAGTAATATTGTTTATTAGGTGCAGGGAGAGGATTAAATAATGACTACGAAGCTGTAGTAGTGTCTTTACAAGTGTTCTTGCAATACGGCAACAGTTTGTGGGGCTACGACAGACACCAACCAAACCTGACCATAAAGTTATGAAGGAAAACTGCAGATAATTCGCAGTCCTAATTTTCTCTTTCTTTTCTATTAGTTAAGTATTTATGCATTACAACAAACGTGGTGACCATCTCCTTACCTTTAACCAACAATTGTACTCTTCAATTAACAGGAACAATCATGATACTAACAATGTCTCTAGTTAACACCAAAAACTAATAAATATACTTGTCTATGGTGTGGTAAGACAACCAGAAGTATTGCTCACCTTGACCTGGCGGTAGAGGAAACCTTGGCATCACCCATCACCTCCTGGGCCAGGGACCGTCCTGCCTGAAACAACAGCCATGAATGAGGCCACAGTTGTGCTTTCATTACTCTACAACTTTATTGATACATAAACCAACATTTTATAAACACAATCACAAGAGGTGGTGGACACTTCCATCCCCCAACAAGGATCAGTACAGCTCCTCCATATAACTTGGCACAGCCAGCTGGGGGAGGGTCACTTATGTGGCCCCCTGATATGAGGGTCACTTATGTGGCCCACTGATATGATGGAGGGTCACTCATGTGGCCCACTAACTAACTTGGCTGCCCATCACTGCCCTACATAATGAAGAACATTACATGGTAACGTTTCCCTCACATTAATGATTTATAGATCATAGTAAGGAAGTGTAGCAAGACTCTTCAAACAATAAATCATGGTAGGGAAGAATACCATGATACAATATAGTTAAAAAAAACTACATCCCTGAGTGGCCAGAATTATAACAAAGGCGACAAGAAGGTCCCTGGACGTCCGGTTTTTCGGGGTCTTGGCTGAATAATTATCTCTCACCTGGAAAAGGGTTTCTCCTCACAAATTGGACCCACAATTAGTCATGGACGTGAGCTGGAAGGCGTCGGTGGTGGCTTGAGAACCCTATGGAGGTTGAGAGGCTTATGGGGGTTGATGGAGGTCTATGAAAGATTTATGGAGACCTATAGGGGGTTGAGAGAGGCCCATGATCGAATCCTTTACATAATTAACAATAAGAGATCGAACCCTTTACACTGTCAACAAAAGCTGAACGAATCTCACGACCGGCAATAAGCAATGTTATACATTCGTCACATACTACTGTACCCTCCCTAAGACGTAAAAACATCCTGTACAGTCCCTTATACCTGTCAGAATCCCTTTACGATGAGGTAGAGAGCATTCTAAGGGGTTAAGGGGGATGGGAGGGATTAAAAGGAGGTAGGTAATGGTGTGTCACGAATAGGGAGAGAGTTTTAAAGGGTTCAGGGGTGGTAAAGGGGTCATATAAGGGGTTACAGTGGTAAGGGATACGGCTACTCTCATCACCGTGCAGGTGGGTAAGGGAGAGTTGTTTACCCAGGATATACAAGGGTCGGTGAATCTCTCACTTGCCAAGATCCAGAATGGTTAAATCAAATAAAACCTGACCAACGGGAGCTTAAATTATTGAGTATTAGAAGATATGCGTCTTATTAATAATTATTTTAACACCAATCTAATATCAAAAAGGATATAATTACTTTTATGTATTTAAAGCAATACTGTTGAAGGTAACTATGGTAATACTGGAGGAAAAATCATAGGGTGAAGGTTACATTTTCCTTACATCTTCATTTATCAGTTATTTGACGTCAAACTATTATAAGTACCTCGTAAAATATTATCCCGCTCGTCAGGTTCCAATAGAATATAACAATAGAAAGAGTTTCACTTCACATAAAATTTATCCTTCGTGAACTTAAACAAAAAATAGTTTAACCTTACACAGAACATTTTCCTTTTCGCCTTATAAGTCTCATCAAAGAGAAATAAAGAAACAGATTTTATTTACACGAAACACAAATGTCAATAGAGGTATCTGACCACCATACTGGATTACAACCGCCCGGGAGGAACATAGGAGGATATGAACTTAAAGAATCTTACGTTAAATTTACGTTATAGTTACGTTACTGGAGATCAGAGAACGTACACATAGTTAAATATAGCATGATTATTAACCCTGTAAAGCACTTAAAGACCTTAGTTGTTGAAGTGCAGTAAAAAAGAGAAAGTATTTAGCAGACTCACTTAAGATAAGACACAAATACGGTGGAAATAATCCCTTAATGACATAGAAATTGTGCTAAAACTTTATTACAACTGGAAAGGTCTTCTTAATGCGGCCGTAGGTGATGACGTGGCAGAAGGTAGTGATACAGCAGCAGACACACACACACACACACACACACGCACACACACGCACATTAAACAGTCTATCCCGTAATCCATTTTCTATAATTGACCCCAAAAAACTAAAATCTATTCATTGGCCAAAACTTATTGATGTAGTAGAAGTCTTCACCTCGTTCTCTCTTACAATCCACTTAAGTTTTGTATATGGGATGTTAAACTGTTACGTGACAGACATTAATTACGTGTGTGTGTGTGTGTGTGTGTGTGTGTGTGTGTGTGTGTGTGTGTGTGTTAAAGCTGTCAAGATCTTTGGTGTATAGTAAAACATTGAGGCTCTCTCTCTCTCACCATCTCCAGGTCGCCCTTGACTCACATACACCCTGTAGAAATATTTAGTATAGTCGACCTTGTAATGACCCCCCCCCCCTCCACGAGGACAACAGGAGGCCGACCTGGTCTATTGTTCTTGGCTCATTATTGCCTTCCCTTGTGTTTACGCCCGTTGTTAGCAAGGGGTGGAGGGTGTAGTGTGAGGGTGGAGGGTGTAGTGTGAGGGTGGAGGGTGAGGGTGGAGGGTGTAGTGTGAGGGTGGAGGGTGGAGTGTGAGGATGGACGAAGAGGATGAGAACAGAGGAAGAGGGTGATGTATACGGGTGGAGTATGAGGTTGGTCATGTAGTCAGCATCAGAGAACAGAGGCTTGTGACTCTTCCAGGACTGAGGTCAAATATTGTGTTTATACTTCATGTGATGTGAACATTTGCATATACTGTGTGTGTGTGTGTGTGTGTGTGTATAAACCAAATACATTAATGTCTGTTTTGCAAGTATATTGGTATATGTGTCTACCCATGTATGTATATATGTACACAAGGCCACGCTCTCCCTTATGACAGATAGACGGATCATCATCTTTATTACACTATGAATAAAAACGTCACAGGAGTAGTGTAGGGGGTAGGAGGAGGCCATCTTGGGTGACCTTCTCTCAACCTTATGTTATATAACCTTTACTTGTATGGGTATGCTTTCAGAGGGAGGGAAGGAGGGGCAAAGGAGGATGGAGGGTAGAGGGAGGGAAGGAGGGAGGGAGGTATTGGTAGGAGGATGGAGGGAAGAGGGAGGAGAGCATTACTAGAACAGTTAACAAAATCAGTAAAATAAAACAAAGAATTAATGTTTCTATAAAATTGATCGACAAAGAAATAAATAAACGGATATAGTTAAACCTCCATATAAGGAACTCCTTTCTCCATACAGTTCGTTATATGGAGGTTTAACATCTAACGGACCCTCGATATAACGGACTTTCATATCTATACAGTCCGTTAAATAGAGGTTTCACTGTAGATACATACCTTACTTATTTTACCTAGCTGTTATGGTCATAGAGAGGGTGGGATACAAATGTTATTGTGAATGTTTTATTAAATTATACCAGATTGTGGACCATAATTCTGTTACACCACAACAAATTGTCAACATCTAACACATTACTTTATAACATCAAGCTATATTAACCAAACAGTTTCATTAACTGTCAGTATGTCAGGGTTTTTTATACATAGGTAGCACAGTTACCAGGAATGTGACAGTCAAAGAGGGTGTTACAGTCACTTCAGAACCCATAAAGGACTGTAGGGATTAACAGTCACATGAGAGACCATAAGTGACTGTAGGAAGGAAGTCACATGAGAGACCATAAGTGACTGTACAGAGTAACAGTCACTCAAGATACACTAGTGACTGGCTGTGTGACGGGAGAGTAACTTGGGTGAGGCGTCTGGTACACTAACCCCGGGCGTACGGTGAGTCACTGTTCGTAGTGAGGTAGTAGGTTCCTCGTAGACTGTGGGGGTGAAGGAGGCATTAGTTGAGATAGATAGATAGAGAGATAGATAGATAGATAGATAGATAGATAGATAGATAGATAGATAGATAGATAGATAGATAGATAGAAAGATAGATAGATAGAGAGATAGATAGATAGAGAGATAGATAGATAGATAGATAGATAGATAGATAGATAGAGATAGAGAGATAGATAGATAGATAGATAGATAGATATAGAGATAGATAGATAGATGGATAGATAGATAGATAATTCAATAAAATCGTCATACAAATATACTTTGATTCAGCATGTGTACAGACAATGCAAATATATATTGTACATAGACTGTACAGGTATACAAACAATGTATCTAGACAGCACAGGTATGCAGTACAAACAATGTACAGTACCTAGACAAAGCAGGTGTACAAACAATATACCCAGACAATGTAGGTATATAAACACTGCACCTAGACAGTACAGGTATACAAATAAAAACAGTAATATAATTAGAGCACCCAAACAATAGTAACAACCACAACACAAGACTACAGTAACTCTTCCTGTATACAGGTACTCCCCGACTTACGACGGGGCTAGGGACCGACATCCAGGTCGTAAGTCGAAATGGTCGTAAGTCGGAAATGCTTAAATAACACATTGAAAATAAAAAATTTGGGTCTCTTTTTCTTCTCAGCACCACAAAACTCTCACTTTTAAGCTTGCCAGCCATTTTAAAGTGAATTACAGAGGAAAATTTTGTCTGGGTCCTGACTTTGGGACTCAAAAATACATAATTTGACCACATTTTGGTACGACTGAGGCGGTCATAAGTGCGGGTGGACGTAAGTTGAGTCGGTCATAAATCGGGGACTACCTGCATAGAGAATGACCACCCTCTTCACCTGTCTTACCTGTGATCAACGTGGAAGCCCATCTCGAGACATCCTTGGCCGCAGGAGTCACAGTTCCCGGCCTGGAAGGACTCCCAGTCTTCACAAGGATAGGATGTGAAGGACAATGAGCCACTGATGCTCTCAACCCATAAGTCGTGTGATCGGCGGTGACTACACCCGCCTGAGGAACACATAATGTTCATCAGTTTATGAGTTGGTGTTTGTTTATATCATGATGCACGTGCATTTGTTTATATTATGAACCACGTTTGTTTGTTTACCTTCGAGCAGGTCTGTCCAGGCACCATAGTCAACACAGCCAGGCTGGTGTTTACCGCCGTTGGGGTAGAAATCGACATGGCCGACAGAGTCCTTCAAACCAACACAACTCTGGAAATTAAATAATAATAACAATAATAATAATAATAATAATAATAATAATAATAATAATAATAATAATAATAATAATAATAATAATAATAATAATAATAATACGTACTGTAATAATAACAATAATAATAATAACAATACCTGCAGTATAGTGCCTCCATTCGTGTGGATAATCTGCACAAACTTAGCATCGCTGGGGTCAAGACGCTCGGACGCTGTTTTTTCATAGAACTCAGGTCCAGCTGGGTCCAGACCTGTCCCGATACATTACAAGGTTAATTAGTATACATCCCGGTCTACTTTAAGTTACTGTACAGGTGAAATAAGAATAAATGATGGATTACTATACATACTGTACTTAGATACTACGCTTAAAACAGGCCTAGTCGAGTGTAAGCAAATTAAATACTCCTATACAGTACAGGCATCTTAACCCAAAATAGACATTAACTAAATAAATATCTACCTGAAATAACAACAACATTAAAAAACTATGTCAACAAACCTCTAAAATACTTTAAATAAATTAAATAATCCTTAAAATAAATCTCACAACTTAAGAAATGCAAAAAAAATCAAAATATATTAACAAATCAGGTAAATTTATGAAGGATCCAGTCGACCAGTTACCTGTGATCATGGGTAGGGTGAAGGCAACCAAGTTCTGGCCCACAGCACCAGCGACGTGAGCACCTAGGGAGTGGCCGGTGATCTGTACCTTGGAACCGTCCATCCCGCCCTCGAACTTCAGCCAGTCTAGGAGCTGGGCCGTGTAGATGCCCACCTGTGTAGATGGATAGATATGTGGATGAATGGATAGCTAGAAAGAGAGAGAGAGAGGAATACATACATAAAATAAAGGAAGAAAACATGTAAGAAGAACGAACCCGAAAATGATGAAGGAAGGAGAGGAGATAGAGACACTCACCTGAGGAACATGATTGACAGCGGCAGGATACCAGGGAGCATTCGCCAGACGTGCCCAGTTCACAGAGAGGATGTTGTACGACCCCAGGGCGAGTAACTCTATGGAAGGTCAGGTCACATTTCAGGGGAAGACAGTAAGGGTTGTGTAAATGAAACCAGTAGTAACTATAACTTAAAATTGTGAAGGTTCTGACACTTGGCTGAGTTGTGAAGTTATTGATATATAATATTTATTGATTCTATAATTTAAGGTCACTTTTAAACCTTTATAATGAGTTAATTATTTACAGTATTTGAGCTAGTGTCTTCATTAGGGAATTGAATCTACATCTCAAGGTATCAGGTATCGTCTTAACCCTTTGATTATGATGATCATTTGACCCTTTTGAGGATGATGTTTTAACCCTTTTGACAATGATCATTTAACCCTTTGACTATGACGATGTAACCCTTTGATAACTATGATTTAACCCTTTGATGGTGATGATGGTTTAACCCATTGATTACTGTGATTTAACCCTTTAACTACGGTGGTTTTTAACCCTTTAAAAACAATTATTTAACCCTACAGGACTCAAAAAGGCTACACGTACAGACTCAGGAAGAAGGTAAACACAGAAACATCCTTACACTCACCAGTCTTAGCATCCACTGGCCAATCTCTGTCACCGTGAGCAGCAAACCCGTGTATCATGACGAATGTGGGGTCACTGGGGTTAAAGGGAGAGGCATCTAGGTTCTCCTTGTTGTCCAGGAACAGCTCGTAGTAACTCGTGTTGCCGGGATTACTCCTACACCGCCACGGAGAGTCAAAGATGGGAATTATGAAGTGATATATTAAGACCTCTATTTAACGAACTATATGGTGATGAATGTCCATTATATCGAGGGTCTGTGAGATACCAAACTTCCATCTAACAGATTAATATGTAGATATATGTATGTTATATAAGGAGTTCACTGTACCTAAGAGAACAGAGTTAATTTAGATTCATCGTGTCTTCAATAGTATCACCTGATGTTATTCACTAATTGGACAGAGACTCACCTGGTCCAGAGAAGGAAGTGGACATCATCAAGGTTGACCTTAGGGGCAGTCCTGGCCCTCGAGAGCACCGCCTGCACCACCACCACTGTTAACACAAAGTTTATCTTATTACACAACAGAAATTTATCCCACAATACAGAATTAATGGCTGTATGAGGGGGTTAGATTTGGTTTGGTTGAGTTGGGTTGGTTTAGGTTGGGTCACAAGTCCCCTGAAGATGATGAAGCAACTTGGTTTATTTCTCCCTCTATCTTTCTTTCTCTGTCTCTATATATCTATCTTTCTCTCCCCCCTCTGTCTCTATCTATCATTCTATCAATCTATCTTTATCGCCCTCTTACAAGTCAGGCAGCAGACCTACCATAGGTGTCGTGATACTGTCGGATGAATATCTCAATGCAACGTCCCTATAATAACACAACTGACCTCCACCAAACCAAACCAATCTAACCTAACCAAACCAAACCTAACATAGCCACAAAAAATATGTTTAATTCACACCAACACCAAAAAACTTACCTAGAAGGACTAATTTTAACATTGTCTCCAATTATGTTGAGGTAAAAGCCCTGGTGTTAAATATTTAACACAGTCACTAGTTTTGTTCGTTGACACTTAGAAGTCTCTCAGAGTCTTGGGTTACCTCTGCAGTCTCCTAAACTGTCTGGCACTGAAGTGAGGCAATGCTGGTGTCACGCCCTGTTTTTAAGGCTCCCAGGACAGTGGGGGGGAAAGGGGAGGAGAGAGCATGGGGTGAACTCAGCCCATGGGAAAACTCGACCCTGGAGATCCCGGTCTGTGTATTAAGTAACATTATCATATAGTTTTCTGGCTGGTGAAAGATGTACTACACCAATATTCTCCGTAAAGATGCTGATATGGGGGAGGCACCACTAAGGGAGGGGGGGCAAGGAGGGAGGCACCACTGGGAGGGGGGGCAGGAGGGAGGTAGGGGGGCCAGGGAGGGAGGCCACTAAAGGAGGGGGGGCCAGGGAGGGAGGCACCACTAAGAGGGGGGACCATGGAGGAGGTACCACTAAGGAGGGGGGCCAGGAGGGAGGCACTACTAGGAGGGGACCAGGAGGGGAGGCACCACTAAGGAGGGGGGCCAGGAGGCACCACTAAGGGAGGGGGCGCCAGGAAGGAGGCACCACTAAGGGCGGGGGGGCCAGGAGCAGGGCACCACTAAGGAGGGGGGGCCAGGGAGGGAGGCACCACTAAGGAAGGGGACCAGGGAGGGAGGCACTACTTAGGGAGGGGGACCATGGAGGGAGGCACCACTAAGGAGGGAGGCACACCAGGGGAGGGCCAGGGAGGGAGGACACCAAGCAAGGTCACCAGTTTAAGACAACACAAACACTCCTCCTGCTGGTGATCACGTGAAGGTGCTCTGACCAGAGAGAATTGCACCCCGCCCCCCAAACACACCCCAGAGGTCAGTGTCTAAGAAACAGAAGACACACAGCTGAGATTGTCTATTATTTGCATATTTCTACTGTCTTTATACCCACCGAACATTTCTACTTATATCTACCATCTACATATTCATATACTATCTACATAGTTATCTACACACACACACACTATATATATATATTGAGACAAGAGGAAAATATCTATCTACCTACCTATCTATCAACCGACCTCATTCTACACCTGCCCACCCACACCTCCCACCTCCCCACTCTCTCTCCCACCAGCACCTCCCCACCCATAATTCCTCCACCTTCATAATAACTCTTACAACACTCAGGGGATACGCATGTTATGTGTTCAGTTCCTTGACGTATCGTAAGTTAAATCATTGATCACGTAATGTGACATAAGATGAAGCATCTGGTTAGGGTAGTGTCGCAGTCCAATATTATCATCATTGGTAATTCCCCCAACTTTGTGTCATAAATCATATGTGTTAGTTAGTTGCATTGTGTAATTATCAGTTGTGAGGAAACTGTGAGATATTTACAGAGTCTCAGTGTTAATGTTGTCTTCTAACTGGTGATAAGTTAATGTATCTACTTAAGGTATAGTCTCAGTGTTAATGTTGTCTCCTAACTGGTGTTAAGTTAAAACATAGTATCTAATTAGAAAGAGTCTCAGTAACATTTCTACAGACATCATACAACAGCTTACAAATAAAGACAGGTATATACCTGAATTATCACAATCTTGTTTACCAATGTTACACACACATGTTATATCTCAGTAGTGCAGCTGACACATCATAGCTTGTTCCCAGGGTGTGATGCTGCATTGGTGTGTGTGTGTATGTGTGAGAAATCGTCCTGCTTATAATTTGTAAACCATAGCCCAAGGTCATAAAGGTTTCTAATGTGACATAATAATAAACATAATTGGTTTAACTTCGGCTGAAACACAAAACTAACATTAAAATAGACATCAGGAATACACAAGGACTGTACTGTACCTTGATTAGTTTTCATTCAGCACCAATTATGGAACAAATTTAAAATGCAATAATCTATTAAAATTCTATACTTTAGTTGAATACCGGTATATCCCTTAAGTGGGACTAAAGTTATGTAGTATTCATTGGAGTCAAGGGAGTCATCATACTCAAGTGGTTAAGTCATCATACTCAAGGGGATGTCATTATGCACAAGAGAATAAATCATCATACTCAAGGGGATGACATTATACACAAGAGATTAAATCATCATACTCAAGGGGTTGTCTCCATACTCAAGGGATTAAATCATAATACTCAAGTAGTTAAGTCATCATACTCAAAGAGTTAAGTCATCGTACTCAAGGGGTTAGGAACATAAGAGCCAGTTAGAGAGTTTTAAGTCCTAACACTGTACTCAAGTCTTAGTGTCAACAGATAAGGAAAGTGACGCAGGTAGAGATGACCAAAGTTCTCTTCAGTACTTATAATATCTGAAATTCTGTTTACTTTCAAGGGCCACGATTGAAATGTGGCTAAGAAGTTGGCAGTGATTCAATGATGTCAAACATATAATAAAAATATAAAGTTCTTTAATTAAATCTGTTGTTATTTATAGTTTAACCATTTATCAATTTACTAGCCATTCAGGCAGTTTGTAATGACTTTTATTGTTCATTGTTAGTACAGGAGACACAAAGAGTACCTGGAGAAAAACTGATTTTTTCCGAGTTAACTATTCATACATAACATTTTTATTTCTTTACAATTAATCAGTTCAATCATATATCCTGTTTGTGTTTATTTATAATTAATCAATATGTATGTATCTCTCTTCAATGTTTATTTACAATTTGTCATTAACTCGTATCCTCTCACCTTGGGTCGTCCGGTGGCGAGATCAATGACCCGACTAACTACCTCCAGGTAGTCCCTGATTTATCATTGGGGAACTTGTCGGATGTAGAGTTCCCCCTCTGGACCAGGTCAGTTTACATCAAGGTCAGGTCATTGTGAGGGCAAGTTTATAGTATCACAGCTTCAACGGGTCTTGGCAAGTGTGGCTGGATCGTCAAATCAAAGACAGGGAGTTACGTTGGCTACACACACACACATACCCTACCCTTCACCTGCCACACACACACACATCCTTAGTCCTTCTGTATACTTGGAGGTGCATATAGTCTGTTCAATATGGAAATGTCACACTCAGCCTCACCCTAGCAATATGATGTATCGTTTTCCGATTAGATAATGTGGCAATCTATAGCACTCCCATTATTTTTTTCTAAATGGCCAATGACGAGGTTATATGAGAGCAAGAGGGTGGGGCTACTTGATATTTCCATAATAAAGAGACTATAGTCTATATTGTCATAAATATTAATAATATATTGTGCTTGATTCTACATTCATAGTTTTCCTTTGTGTAGGAGTAAAGTATTTCCTCTACTATCAACTCATAGAAGAATAAGTTATTGTCTTAAATATCTCGGAGAATTATGTTCTATGCTCTGTTGACACCTGTACACTCCTACACTACTCCTTTCTCTCTGCTACAATAAATTTTCACTCTGTCTCTATCTATCTCTTTCTACAGCCTCCAGGTAGAGAGGTCAAGGGAGAAACACCTCTCACAAACTACTAATACTACTCTACTCTACACACATTAATTTCAAATTCCAAAACATAATATTTTGCTCCAAATTATTTGTTTTTAATGTGGTATATAACTCAATACAGTATTAACATCAAAGTACATACCAACCCAAATTTACATGGACCTTTTTTTATGGATTTACAGTTATAAAGAATATGGAGGATGCTTTGCTAAATGGATGAAGACTCAAGATGTTACAGGCCAAACAATATTTCAATTTTATTTTACTACAGGTTTTTTTCAGGAATGTAACCCATTAATAAATTAGGGCCAGAGTGTTTGCTGTTATGCTGTTTTCTACACAAAACTGATTCCATAAATACTGATGTGTACTAAAACTATTAAGGACAAATAAGACTTAACATATACATAAATATTATTTTATTTCATTGAAAGAGAAATGACCAATAGTAACTAGTTTTTTCCAAAGTAACATTGACAACCTTAGGCACATAGACATCATCAGTAAGTGTCATCAGCTGGTGCGTGGAAGAGGAGCTAGAGTCGAGTTTTAAGAAGCAAGAAGGTAACTTTTATCACAATGTATACAATCACATTTTCTTAACCATATTAAAAACAAACAAACAATTTTGAGACATTTCTTTTCCTCAAACATTCTTTTATTAATTTGATTATCTTTATTTATTTCACCAGCTCACACTGTGCACCAAACACAACTTGTAGAGACACCCCAACTGAACTCTTAACTTCCTCCTTCAACAAGATAAATATCTACAATCATGTCTTCTTACACTGATGACTATGTTTTGTTTTAATATGAATGACTTTGGCTGTTTTGAAATGTACTGATGTACTGATATTTTTGGCAACTTATTCTAAAGGTTTTATCATATGGTATTACTGTATATAACAAAGAAAACTGTTGTACACAAACATAATGACAGAATACTGTATATCCATTGTCTCTGACTCAGAAAAAAACATTTACACACAAAAATATCAAAAACTAAAGTTTGTGTTTTACAATAGATAAAACCAGTTATGAGATGACATTTTTTACCTTCTAGAATGAGACAACTAACACTGATGGCTTTTGTGTCCAAGATTTTATGATGTAACTTAGAAAGATGTGAGAGAAGGTACATTACATGATAGAGGAACCTTGGTACAAAATATTGGATTGTGACCTAGTCAAAGCCTTCCTTCTTCTCTCGTATGGCTTCTCGGAATCGTTCCTCCAGCAGTGAAAGTTCCGAGATCAAGTCTGTGATGGCATTCATGAAGGCATCGTGTGGGGTGTAGCTGGCATCTGACGTCTGGAATAGAAGTGAAGAAAAATCAAAACTTAAAAAAATCAACTGTCTCATACATGTAGTGTAGCTAAAACGAACTATCTGTGCATAGTTGATGGGAAACAACATGAGACCATGGATGATAAATTTTGGTATATGAGGGCTGTCACCAGTCACAAGTAAAATTTCGGAGCATATCGACCCCCCACCTGCACAGATAGTTGTTTTAGCTACTGTACACTTGATTTTAATTCTTGATATTATTCACTTTGATCTTACACATTATCTGTCTTCTTATGACCACTTACATTGTACATTCTGGATCATTTCCTGCTCATTTCACCTCATAATACTACTGCCTGGTGGGTTAGGTTAGGGTGTTTAATCATCAGGTGAAATAAGCTGGAATATCTAATCATCATGTGATCTAAATCACATATAAATTATAAATCTGCTTCACATTCACATAAATAAGTTTCTTTAACACTACACAACATCAAATCATCATCCACCATACCTGGACACGAAGCACGACTTTGTGTTCGAGGGGATGAGGATTCTTGTAGCCAGCAAACATGACATTAGGGTCCTTGAGCAGCTGCAGACGGATCATGTTACCCAGCGTGTGGTCCTCCTTGTTGACGGTGTAGATGGCAGCATTTGGCACCTAGAAAAAAACATCACCTTACACAATGATACAATTAAGAGTCTTTCTACTTTACTTAACAATAAATTGCATACTAACCATATAATGTCATTTTAGAATTCACACACTCTCTAAGTTAAAAAAAACACCATGGCTAATCATATGAAACAGCTGAGGAATTGCATCTATCGTCATATCACACTCGAGGTTAGGTTAGGTTAGCTTTCTCGAGAACCATTCACTTCTCGGTCAACGCAAGAGACATGTGACAAGATTTGTCCATATGATAAGCCTTAGACATAAATGCTATATAAAACTTGGGTAATGTCTGAGAACAGCACTACCACCAGAAGAAGAAGTTCGATTTTTTTAATTTTCCCCGGTGGTTCTTATCGTTATATTGTACAGTAAGATGTGACATTTACTAGAACCTAATAGAACCAGACCTAACCAAACAAAGAAGCTTACCTAACCTCACCTAACTTCCTACCTGGGGGCTCCAAACTCTGCCAAATTAAACAAAAAGTACTTACTTTGATATCTGGTACCAAAGAAAGCAACTTTGTTGAAGCGTCTTGGTGTAATTTTATGTTTTTTGTGAACGTGAGATTACACTCGGACCGAGCAGTCAACAACACACATGACTCGGCAGATCTTTAGTTGGAGTATTTACAGTAAATAATTAATTTATTCATGTACAAACCACACAGAGACATCATTCTGGTGTTATGTGATCAGTTTTTCACCGTGTTTCACTGTGCAATTTCCCTGACCCTTCATGCCCTGCCCACTACAAGTGATTTATGATTGTAGACAAAGAAAAACTAAAACATTAAACAAAATAATATTTAAAGTAAAGAGTTTAACGCCCGTATTATTAAACAACATCTTCCCTTGTAGAGGGTTGACGTGTTTCAACCCGAGTTTTAAATTAAATGAGTCTTACCGCCACACCACCCCGTTAAGTACTGTACTGCGGTGTCCCTCAGGACTCATTTAATTTAAAACTCGGGTTGAAACATGACGACCCTCTACAAGGGAAGATGTTGTTTAATAATACGGGCGTTAGCCTATTTTAAAATACTTAGTATATAATAAAAATAAGAAAATCTGTGAAAAATATGAACAAAATCAAACAACACATGATGGTATTGCTGTTCTCAGAAATTACCATAATTTTATTTATAGGAATATTAACTTAAGAAACCTCCACTAATTTAAGGTTAAAGAAATGAATCATTTATAACTACTACATATAAAATAACCTAACCTTACCTTACCTAACCTAACCTAACCTTACCTAAGTCTGAAATGTGCTAACAATGACAGCGGCTATTAAAGCATTTCCAACAATTCGTTCAACATTTGCAAATTAACATTAATTTTGCTTAATTTCCTCTACTAACAGATAACAATATAAAGGTTTCTTACATTTTATCCTTCATCACAACACCAAACAAAAACTAAGTAATAAAGTGGCGACCATTTACACCATTACCAAACATACTTCAGTTGATAATACATTTGATATAAAACCTCAAAAACAAGTTCATATATCTCTATAAACTACATAGATTTATATACATTCATTAACTAAAGAATAATCTCTCTATATATATACACCTTAATTAACCCATAATAGCGTCGTCTCTAGATGACTTACCTTAGTGTCAACCTCTTTAATGATCTTCTTTTCTCCATCAAAGAGAAGAAATGACTCGAATGTCGGCGGGGCGTTCATGGTAATTCACTAAAACTTGACGAGAAACTAATACAGTACACCTCCTCCTCGACCCAGGCAGCCAAGTGTTGATGCTGTGGTGAGGGGGACAGGTGAAGGAGGTGAGGCGTGCTGCTGATAGGTAGGTTGTTGGGTAGTTGGGTAGTTAGGTAGACTGATATGAAGATAGATAGATATATTGATAGGTAGGTAGATGGGCATGTGGGTAGGTAGGTATGTAGGTAGATAGATAACTAGGTAGGTATATAGATAAGTAGTTGGGTAGATACGTAAATATATAGATAGATAGATAGTTAGGTATGTCGATAGATAGATTGATTCAAACACAATACATACTTACTAAAATATAACCCTTTTAAGAATGACATATGTGGGAGGTCACTAGCTGTCACTGTGGGAACTGACCCTTGATAAACATATGGTGAAGGGCACACACGTCTCACCATGATAAATCTCATGTCTATAACGGTATACAAATATTCCTGTGAATTTAATTATATAACATTAACGTAAGATTAAAATTGTCTTCAGTTTATCCATGTAAATTTATGTAATACAGAAAAATATTTGAGTATATTGAGTGTTATTGTAGTCATTACTGGAACATAAATCTTTTAATTTGTTATATATTTCTCTTTCTTACATTCAATTATTTTTATCTTTATTTTCTCATTACCTTTTATGTATCCAAAGAGGCTAACCGGCTTATCAGTGGCGAAGAAAATGATATATAAGAAAGCAAAATAATTGCTCATATCATACAACCATAGTAAAAGGTAAGAGAGTCCCCCCATCTTAGGTTCCGTTTTCTTTTATTGCAAAATGAGAAAATGGGTATAAACAAACACGTAAATTTAAATGGCACACTTAAAGGATTTTGAATGAGATTAAATGCAGGAGTTAAATGGCTTTGAATGAGATTAAATGCAGGAGTTAAATGGCTTTGAATGAGATTAAAGATGTTACCGTACTATAACTTTAATTAAACGGGTAATAATAACAATAACAATAATAATAATATAGGTCATTGGCGAGGGAAACGTGTAGGAGAAAACTGTATTAGAATTGTTTGAAATATTGGTTACAAAAATAAACTTCTTGAGATTCGGTTGATAATAATAATAATAATAATAATAATAATAATAATAATAATATTGCAGTTAATTCAGGAGTTATATTAAAGAATTAACCTTAACTATAGAAATTTTAATAACAAAAAGTTTACGTTACAACTTTTGTAAGTCTTTGCAAAATTAATTTTCTATTACAGATTTTTAGCAAAAAAATTATAAGAATAAATGGATTTCAGGATTATTAGGAACCCTAGTACAGGTATAGTGGTTTGGTTAGGTTAGGTTAGGTTAGGTTAAGTTAGATTTGATTAGGATAAGCTAGGTTTGGTCACAATAAATTAAGTTAGATTTGGTAAGGTTAGGTTAGGTTATTGATATTGAAACAGCTTATTTAACCAGAAAAATACAAATACAGAGTCGATTTTAACAATATTGATATGGCTGAGCTAATTGAGAGCCTCTGAGCTCTTTTAGGTTAGGTTAGGAAAAGTTAAGGTTTGGTTAGGTTGTGTTAGGTTCCACTCCTATTTCACAAATGAAGTGTTTCTATTCTATTATATCCATTTTTAACAAAGAAAGACACCTCTCATGCACAGGCATATTTTATTTGTTGGACAACATACATAATTTATGTATACTGTACACCTTAATTATACTGTATTTGTAAAATAACAGTACCAAATAGAGATAAAATATTGGCCTATTCATAATGACTAAGTTTACACACATGCAAGGGAGTGTAGTTGCATCCCCTCTGGAAAATTTGAAATGTTCTTTTTCCTGCAATCCTTGTTCACAATACTGTGTGCATGTTGTTACAAGTTTTAAGTTAACTGTTTGTTCCTTAATGTTCCTGCAGCAGTTACTTGTGATAAGCCGGTACAGTACTTTTGACAATTCTTGTGTGTGTGAGATTTACCATGTCATTGGCAAGAGCAACAACTGGTGCCTGGGCCTGGCTGGCTGACTCAGGCAAGACCATTATTATGTCCACATCACAGAGGAGTCGTGTATACCTGGTGTTAGGTCATGATGAAGCCGCGACCGCTTGTCATCAAACTTACTATGCATTATTTTAGTTAGATAATTCAGCAATTTTCAGAAATACTTTGCTTATTGTAACATATAAGACAAACTGATTTTGGGTTCTTTACTTAAATATTTGATAACTAGTATGATATATGGGTCTAGCACAATACAACACATTATAAACACTGTATAATATACGTTAAGTACTTCCATAATGACACAGAAATACCAAAATCGCAACTCAGAAACCCATAGTTGGCGAATAATTAGCATTGAAACTATTAAGACAACGAATTACCCCAGTCAAATCGTGAACCAGATTCAGAATCAGAGTGCTCAGGAGTACATACTGTATTTTGTATTGTACAATACCGAGATTCTGAACAAAATCCCACAGAATGAAATTTGCGTTGAAACAGAAAGCCTAATTCCTTATGAACATTTCAACCAAAATATACTTTTCTCTCAGAATTGGAATTTAATGGATTTAACTAATTAATATTATTATTCATAGATGAAAGTTAGAGCCGAATAAATATTGTTGAAAGTCCTGAGCTCATTACTGTTGGGGATTTTTTTTTACGCCTTGTGTCATGGAAATTATTGAGTTATAACTGTGCTTCAAAAAACCTGGTACAATGAGTTCCTTGCAACACCAAGTTGTTGTAAATGTGAGAAAAAATCCAGTGGCTGCCGAACGTATGAAAAAATGGCACATGTAAATGAAGTCTCAAACAAATATATTTTTCCTGAAGTCACAGTCATGGTTTGAAATGAGGACCCAGGGTCAAAATTCCAGAAGAAACCCGCATCTGATTCCGTTGAAACAATGTCAAATTACCCCCCATCAATTTAAACCTAATTTCAAAGAACTGGGGGTATGTTCTAGGTAGATTCAATATTTCCTGAGGGTAATAAAAGCTTAGGTTCAAACTACATACTTTAGTTTAGCCCCACATGTAAGGAACATAAAACAAAGACTACTAAACCAATTTTTTATTTGTCAGTGACACATCATTTAAATCTTGTTACTTTCCCCCTCACTGTCATCTTATCTGCAGGCAGCCATGATACCGGCAACAGAATCAAACTCGATCTTTTCGGTGATGTTCTTGGTTTTGACGGTTTCCTCCTGGTTGGCGACAAATACATACTCATCCTCGGTGTCCTTCCAGCCATACTTGTTCATCCACGCCAGCATGGCGGATTCTGGGGGGAGATAGATATGGGGTGTAACAATACCTGGAAACACTTAAACAATTCTTCCTGACTGACAAAATCTCTAGTTCCATTGTTCATTCATTCACTTACTGATTCTACTTTTTATTCATGTGACTCAAAACCCAAGTGACTGTTCTTCCTCTACAATCAATTGACTCACAACAGCACCAGTTTAAACTCAACACTTCTTATAATGAATCAACCCCCCCCCCCCATTTCCTTGAATCATCTAAACTCAGTCTTCATTCATTATTTATCTACCTTTGAATATCACTTATTTAACCATCTCACTCAATTCTACTAACTACATCTTTTGCAAATTACAATGTACTGTACTGTACAACCTTTGCAATTGACTAACTCCAACCCTAGCAATGGATCACCACAACATGCCTGACTCACCATCAATGTTGCCAAGGAGCTGCGACAGAACAGTCTTCTCAATATGCTGGTAAGTGATGGTTATGACGTGACAGATGTACTTGCGTATACTGTCGTTGAAATCCTTGATATTATTCATCTGTGGAGAAATATTACAAAGTATTAAAATGCACAATGGGAGGGTAAAAGTGTTGTGTACTTTCAATACTGTTGTGTGGGTAGTACAAGTTGTGTTGCTGTACTATAAGACATACTGTGTTGCTGTACTGTAAGACATACTGTGGTGCTGTACACTATCTTGCAACACTGATGAGCCAAAACCCAAGATATTAAAGTTTACATATCAGCAATAATTTTGACATTAATCTTAGCAACAGGCAGAACTAAACCTATACTGTTAAAATATTAACAGTATTCTTCATTAAAAAATTAATCTTCATTCAATCCTACATATTTCTGACTGGCAGACGAGAGAGAAGTAAGTGGAAGGATGTCTGCTAAATATTCTGTATAAAGCCCAGAACACCATATTTGATATAGTTTGCAGCCCTTGATGGAAGAGACTGTAAACCAGACTAGAAATCCTCTTACTTACATCCATCCCACAAGTACCTGTATAAATTTTGAGAGATTATTAACAGCAAAATCAATCACTTTTCTTTTAATCTTTAACCAGCAAAAAAAAAAAAAGTGGGGGGTGGGGGGGGGGACACAAGGAATATGAAAATTCCACTGATAATGGCTGCCGTCTCTACTACACTTAACTTCCACTGATGGCCGCCTGATTGAAAAACCCATCAATTGACCAACATTACCAAATAATATTCTTAACAAGTAGACAAAAAACAAACAAAGGCACAACATACCAGATCTGCATACTGAACCTTATCCTTCCAGAAGGTGCGGAACTGACACATCTCCAGCAGGTCGTGGAGGTACATGATGCGCTTGATGTTCTTGTCCTCCATCTGAAGATTGATTACACCATTATAATGACCCTGGCTGACTATAGAGGGACACATGAACGTTAGCTTACCATAGCATATTTCACCTTAAGATTAACATTATCACCCAAGACAGCATTAGGATGGTTAATGATCGGGTGAAATGAGATGTGTGGGGGAAGGGAGAGAGGGAAATCTTCAGGTGATCCAATCATTTACTCCAGAGATGAAAAACTCAACTCTTTACCTGATCTTGCCCTAATAGACACTTGCAGAGGACAAAGTCGGTGTGAGGGAGGTTGGTGAGCGCCTTCATCAGGATCTGGCACGCTACGTTACTCTGGTATGTGCCGGGGTTGAACTGATACAGCTTGAGAAGGGCGAGATTGGCCTCCAGATCGTAGGTGTTCTCACGGGCCTGCAGCTCCACGTACCGCTCCAGGGTAGAGATGTTCTCGGGGTTGTATCTGTGAAAAGAAATAATTTTGTAATATATCTAAAATAAATGTAGTCATGTAAGTCCAACAAGAAGTCTTCCCTTATCTAACATGACAGCTAAAGCATGAACAGAGCCATACATGGGTCACCTGAGGATTAACTCACCTATTTAATTCACCTGATTATTAACCACCCTAACACCACCAGGGGCTTACATTAGCATTATTGTAGTTAATCTTAAGGTAAAACAAACTGGGGGGGGGCAATCTTCAGGTGATCCAGTTTACCCTAGTAGCTTTCGAAATAATCAGTCAATAACTTCATAGTGACATCAAAAACAGGATTCTTTGTGAGGTTAAACACTTGCTTTATCGTTATTCTCCCATTAAATGTATTCCAAGTATCTAAACACACATAATAACGATGAATAAAGAAATATCTCGGATCCCTTAAAATAAAAAAACTAAAATATTCAACTATCACTTTATCAATTACACAAATAACTTTCTACTCAACCCAAAAGCATGGTTTTATAATACTAGTTATAATTATTGATTACTGAAATATAATACACTAATTATGACAATATTAAGGACTAAAATATATTACGGTCCCTCCACACACCAGTTAGTGTCGGCTACCACCAACACCTGCTACACCTCTATCTCACCTCACAACAGATACTGGCCGCTTAAACTAACTCATAGGGTTAATATGTGTGTTAGCTTCATGTTAAGTATTGGTATAGTTGCCTCAGCACCTACCGCTCAATGCCCCGGAGCATAGAAGCCACAGTGGCCCTCATAGCCTCCGCCTGCTCTGCCATGATGACAACAATGGACGATCTTGAGGGAAATGTCTAGTAATGTGTATATATACTGTCCTGTGTATCGTAGAGGATTTAATATTCATGAAAATAAACCGATAATAATAAACTGTTTTATTTATTGTTATTGGTGTTAGAGTATAATAATTAATAAATTCACGTATACATAAATGCTATTGTTGAGACACTATAAATATACTCGGTGAGTTTATGTAACCGTATTGCTTAATAAATGTAATTTATATTTTATGTATGAATTTTTAATGTGTTATCTGTGTCAAAAATAAATATATTTGCTTATATTTTATCTTTTAATCTATATGTATGCAGCATAGAACGCGTTCATGTCTAAAAGAAAATTATGAGACTCTTCATTAATATTATATATATTATAAACATATAGCAAAATTTTATTTATTAAATTTATTTGTATATGCATATTTTGGTAGTGCAAAATCATAGAGAAAATATATTATAAATTTATTTAATGTGTGAATGTTGTTACTATGACAACCAGTGTAAACAAACATTCCAGGGTTTGTTATGGTGACCAGCCGAGGATGGATCCCTTGTTCTTAGCTCTAAGTAACTTTAAGCGTCGAAATTTTGAAAAATGTATAGAAATATGTACGGAAAAATTAAACAAAAATCCATACGATCAGGTAAGTCGCTAAAGCAAGGTAATGTAAGTTATAACAAGGTAAATACTATAGAAGGAATAGGAGCGATATACTGTATATATACCCTGTATATAAGTTTAGAACTTGTTAATTACTTTGTTCCTGTCATGTTTTGTGTTTGTCTCGGTGTATTAAGTCAAAACTAGTCAGTGCCAATATATTTTAAATGAGTTAATAAATGTGATGCTTACGGTTGTTTAAATACCCTCTCACTCGTGGGTACTCTGGAGCATACAGTGATGCCTTATAACTATTGTAAGAGTTTTATTTTGTGCATTAAGTAAAGGTCTATCCAGTTTTTATGAGTTGTGCTTTACACACCCAAGTGGTATCCCTTATATGAAAAGTCTAATATTTATAGTACTTTTTTTAGGATTTTTTATGTATACTTATATTGAATAATAATAAGTTTACCACCATCATCCAGGCTATGTGGAGTCTGAAGACGCGAGCACTAACGGAACAAGTGTGGGTGGACGACTGTGATGGTGAAGAGGAAGGTTTGGCCGATGTGTTGATGGACGACAACACCATCGCTTCTGTCGCTCGTCCCGGCACATCCCTCCGAGCTGCTCCTCCTTCATCATCTGACGGTCCCTCACAAACCTTCAGGTGTGCAGCAGATGTGTCAGAGTAGTGTAGTACAGGTGCAGATTCTGTATATACTTTGCTTTAATCCCGATACAGTAATAATGGTTCAATGTGTTGTACTTATCTGTATATCTTTTTATTTATGACCCTATAGACCTTCAACACAGTCGGGTCGGCCTCTGAGTGGTGTAGTTCGGCCAGGGTCACAGGGAGGTCGACCCGGCACAATGGATCAAGCTCTACGCACTCCTCGCACGGCTCAAACAGCTCGTCCTGTGTCAGCGACCTCTGGTGTGTTGTTATTTCCTATATGATTTGTGATCAAGCTGATTTAAAGTTACTTATTTTGAAATACATATATAATTAAGGCAAGGAATTTCTCATTGTGCAATCTGTTATTACCATGTTCTTCCCTACAGTTTATGAGATGTTTTCTTTATATAAATTTATGACACTCACAAGTAGACAAGATCCATATACAGTACAGTATTGTTTATGTTACATAACAGTTCACTGAAGTATTGTTTTACAGCTGCTTCACGTGCAGTGTAATAAAGACATCATGATAAGATATTTGAGAACAAACATTTTAAATGACACGTAGGCTGCAGAATTTATACTATGCAATACAGTATTAACATCATATTTTTTAATGAATTTCCAGGTCGTCATGTGCGTCTTGGTACAGCTTCCATGTTGTCAACGGCTGATGGACCATTTATCAATCTAGCTCGCTTGAATGTTGCAAAGTATGCAAGTCAACAAAGTATTGCAAAAGCTCTCTTTGAGTACATTTACTTTCATGAAAATAATGTAAGACAGGTAATTAGCCAATATTGTTTTAATCTTGCACACATAAAGAACCTGTAAATAATATATCACATAATGCCTAAAAAAAAAATATATATTTATTAGTAGATAAAGGTGACATTTCTGGCACCCCTTGAAATTCTATATTTGATAAAGGTTCATCGTTACACATCAAAATACAGTGCAGTTATTTTATAAAGTATAGGATACTGTGGATGTTAACAGGTAGAGAGACGACCCACCACCTGACTGGCTAGTGAATTATCCTGGGGTAAAGAGGATAAGCAAGTACAATACTGCCTTGTATTACTTAATTTTTACAGTTCATTATGAGTCCCAATAAGAGCAGGAGAGATTGTGATATTATTGAACACTTTTCAGGCACTAGACTTGGCAGCCCAAGCCACTCAGTCACAGGATTTCAAGGACTGGTGGTGGAAGGTCCAGCTGGGGCGATGCTACTACAGACTTGGCTTGTTCAGAGACGCTGAGAAACAATTTAAGGTGAAGTTTTTAATTAGAAGTTTTCTGTAAATGAGTTTTAAAATGTTTAGCTCACCAATAGTTTTACTATTGTGGTGTAATAAAAAAAGGTTCTTATTGATTTATTACTTAAGATATTTTTTAGCGAGTATTTATACCTTTTTCCCCTTACAGTCAGCTCTGAAGCAGCAGGATAATATCAACACTTATCTGTTACTTGGCCGAGTTTATATTCGTTTAGATCAGCCAATGGCAGCTCTTGAGGTATACAAAGGTGGACTTGACAAATTCCATGGAGAAGTTACTTTACTCACAGCAATATCAAGGTACAGTACATAAAACAGTATCATAACATAAGGGTACATACATCATCTCAAGGCTGAACTACAGTACTAGTATTACTCCACTAACTCCTTCACTACGGGGACGCCACTTTTAATACAGTATTTTATTTTTTTTAACACCGGACAATTTTGTTCAGCTAGGGAGGGAACCGATACACAAGGGGTTAGGATATTTTGTACAGAAGTAAATTAAAAAAAATGCTCACATGTCTAATAAACTGATTAGTGGTACAACTAGTTAATGATGAAATACTCAGTGGAAGGAACGTCTTTGTTTTACAGAATTTACGAGGGGCTTCACGACCTGACCAAGGCGGTCAAGTTCTACAAGGATGTGCTGCACTTCGATGCGACACACGTGGAAGCGATAGCCTGTATTGGCACCCACCACTTCTACACAGACCAACCAGAGGTGGCTTTACGCTTTTACAGGTAAATTGTCTTATTAATATATAATTGATAATGTAGATAAGTAGGAAGGTAGATAGATTAGATAGATAGGTACAGTACTCATATATGAATGGATTAACTTTAGTCTTTTTTTTTAAATGTTGCACCTTTTATTAAGAATACCCAGTAGTATATTAAGTTTATAACACCATTTTAATATTTGTAATGTATCAAGAATACGAACATTAGTTATGTAACGAGCATGTCTGTTACACTAATCAATTACAGTACTTACCAAAAATGTATCTAGACAGTGCAGGTATACAGTGAGGCAATTCAACAAATGATAGCCAATAAAACCATCCGACGTTTATACACAGCGGTTAAGATTACAATCACGTTTCAGACGATTACTTCAGATGGGCATCTACAACTGTGAGATTTTCAACAACCTCGGCCTGTGTTGTTTCTACGCCCAGCAGTACGACATGACGCTCACTTGTTTTGAGAGAGCGCTGAGCCTGGCCACAAACCAGAGTGTAGCTGATGTGTGGTACAACTTGGGACACATTGCTCTGGTTGGTGACAACATTACTCATTTTACTATAGCTTCATCTTTTTTATTTCTTTTATTTATTTACCATATCCTTTCCACAAGCCTTGAGTGTCTTTTGGTGCAAGAACTCTTTCTCTCTTGAAATTATATGTTGAGGGTTTAATTAGTTAATGTGCTCCAGAATTAATGCTAAAAAATAGGTGAAATTACAACTTTCTGGCTCATTATCTGTAACTAGCATGTATATGGGTTCCCCTCTGCGCTGAATAAAATCATCTGGTGTTCAAATACAATACTAAAAGTGGCATCCCTGTAGTGAAGTGGTTAAGGAGTACTGCAATGAGGTTTTGATAACTTATTAAGCAACATAATCACACCAGTTATCACCTTCCCAGGGTATTGGTGACATAAACTTGGCCTACCAGTGTTACCGCCTGGCTCTCGTTGCCGACAATGACCACGGGGAGTCATACAACAACCTGGGCGTGCTGGAGTACCGTCGGGGGAACCTGGACACGTCTCGGGCCTTCTTCATGACTGCTGCCAGCTTGTCACCCCACATGTTCCAGCCACATTATAATCATGCCAAACTCTCACACAAGGTAAGACATTTTGTTTTTCAATCTTCAAAGCTTCTTCCATTTTATGCAATGGCCAGAAATGCATGCACACACACACATATACCCCTCGATTCATTGTTATTTACTTTTACTGCTACGAGTTGTTTCGCTGCAGTACTTCCCTTCGAGGCGAGGACCCAAACAAACCATCCACCACACACTACACTTGTCACAACCATAAATGTTTTTTCACACATCTCTCACTTTGGTTACTTCTCCGTCTTCATGAACATTTCACCTGTGTCATTAAAATACTGTATTGTTACTTTTCTTAATACTGTTATACATAATAAATAAGAATACAGGCAATGAATATGGTATTTAATTTAAACTGGGATGAGGTATCGTTTGCCTGTACCCCATTTAAGGTTGGGTTACATACACGTACTGTACTTAATTTCTGGAAACAAATTTAAGTGACCACAAGAATCTTAATAATTTATCTTCGTGTCAACAAGAGCACTAAAGACTTGCCATTATTAACAACCATGGCAAAAACTGATGAATTTTTCTGACCTGCCAGAGTTCTTAGGCATCCATTAAAGAGAAGTTAGCAAGCATTATGGTGTATGTATGTGTTAAAATACTTTCTAATTTTGTATTTGATGACCTCAGTACAGTATTCTCAAGTGCTCCATTTTAATTTCAGGTTGGTGACCTACAGACCAGCTACATCATAGTCCAGAAGGCCTTGTCACTCTTCCCCGCACATGTGGACTCTAAGGAACTCCTCAAAACTTTAGAAACACATTTTCAAACTTTGTAAATTATATACCGGTAGTACCTAGTCATTGAGAGAAAATATATTGTATAAGTTCTCATATTTACACAAAGCAATATTTTACACAAATATATGATTCAGTGTGACACCTATATATACAGTGTATTGAAATAAAGATATATAGAATACAAAGGTGTTTCTTTTCCTTGTGTTATAATTACAATAGAATTATACAACCCCTGGCCAAGTGAGGTTCATTATTCGAGTATAGAGATAGTTGTAAGATCCCAGTTACCATGTTTATGTTTAATTTGGCACGACACCATCTTTTGCACCTATATAGCACATAAGTATTCACAGGGTCATAAAGCAGTAACCTGATTTGAACCCTTTATCCCTTCACCACAGAGATGCCACTTTTAGTATTTTTTTGCTATTTTACTCAGCTCAGAGGTGACCCATACAAGAGTGGGTTAAGAGGCAAGATTAGTTTTGGTGAAAAGAAAGTGCAAAATATAGATTCAATCTTGGGATATCTAAAACTATTACCAACTTATCAAACACTTTATTAGATAATATTCTGATACAAACTGGTGTGCTGAATGTCTTCTGTGTATGTAGTATTGATTTATAACATTATTCCCTTAAGAGAAATGATGCACCATCCTTTATGAAAGAAAAGTTGTCCACGCGGCTCATTTTACAACATTACTGAATATTTTCCGTACAGGAGACTTTTTGAAACAGGAGGTAGTGAAGCGAAGTTTTTAGTCTCTCTCGGCAATCGCACTAAGGTGGAAGTCTGTCTCTTGTTCCGTCAAGGTCCTAAAATAAAAATACGTCATGAATCAAAAGTGAATTGATTCTATTAATGTTTAGTCATGAACCACAGGTAAACTGATTCTAATAATATATAACACTTCGTATATCAGTGTATTGTGAGTAAACTTGGTGACGAGTTCAAATTTCCAGTGACAAAACACAACTAATATAACTACATCAGCTATGCCATAAAAACACAACTTATCCCCAAATATCCAAACTGTAGGAAGAGTTACAGTAACACCTACGCTATCTCTACCTGTAGGTGATATGTGACACCAAACACACCTTGGGATGACTCCTGTATAAACCTGTCATCCATGTGGGTCTTATTCAACCTCTACATTCTCTCCATCAATCTTCAAAATCATTCTCGTAAGTTGTGAATTTTTTACCACAGGAAATGAACTCTTTAAACCACCATATAAATAGAAGCATGAGCATTCATTTACAAATCCTCTTAGCAGAACTACAATCTACTACAGATAATTCAAAATCATATAAAAAATCTTGTGTATTTCACCAGAACTGTGAGCCTCAGTGAGAATTTTCTACACCGGAGGGAAAATGTCGGCATAATTTCAGTCGTCCACCAATAATATTCACCAATGACCAAGTGTGAGGTCTATATGCTACCTTACACACTTAGTCAGCTATAGAAACAGGTCAATGTACTAAGTAAGAGATGATGTAATAGCTTTACCCCAGGTTAGGTTAGGTTAGGTCAGGTACAGAAACAAGTCAATCAACTAAGAAGGAGATGCTGGCAGTCCTCACCTAAACTTGGGTTCCTCCTTGGACACAACTCCCACCTCAATCTCCGTGGGTTTAAAGTCTGCCGAGAGGACAGTCATGAGGCAAGTTATGGCCAGTTGGATGGTCTCATCATGGGTATAGTTTGTCTTCTTGCGATATCTGCAACATGGTGCCACAAACAACGTATTAGTTGAGAATTATCATTAAATTGCCCAGACAACGCTGCTGTCATAGCTTCAGAACAAATAATGATTTAATCCTTGAAAAACACAGTTTTTATACAATAATTTACAAGTACGGTATAATACAGTATCTACTGGGCCACCTATACAGTACTGTACACCCTTCCCCCTTAAAAAATAAATACTGTGCAATACAAATACTCTTTCTAATTTGTTGTGTACACCAAACTAGCTAAGGGCTGTTAATAATACAACCATGCCAGCTACAAACTCACTTTTTCTCCAAGAAGCTGTTTGCTTCAGTCTGCTTGACACCAGCTGAGCAAGCACGATTACCACAATAGTAACCGGCCGGATCAGTCTTGTACACACAAGGACCGAGCTCGTCATCATAACCAATCAAGATCATGCCTGAAAACACATCATTATTACATATAAATTATTTTTAAAAGATAGAAAAGACAATTTTAAATTTTTTTTCTAAAAAAAGATGAAACCTAAATCATATACTGTACATCATAAATCTGTGTTATAACTTACTACATCCTAAGGGGCGCATCTCAGCATTTTGTGTGTACACTTGGTTAATGTCAGCTATGCGTTTACACAGAACATCAATGGGCATGTCATACCCATATCGGTACTTGAAGTTGTTGGCTTCACTCTGTGCAACCATCACTTGGTACCTGCTGTCAGCTGAAAGGTTAAGTCTTATTTTAACAACACATAATTAAAATATATCTCTATGTAGCTACTTCATATTCACACCAGTCTTATTTCAATCACTTTATACATCCTTGACACTAACTATCCATCAGCAAAGAGACAAACAATGTGATCTTTTTATTGATCTCAAGATGATGAAAAACTTCCATAAAGGCCTCCATCTACCACAACTACTACACCAAGGCTGATGATGACTCACGCTGCATGCCGGTCATCACACAACCGACATTCTTGGTAAGCTTGTGCATGTGTGTCACAGTGTTGGGGTCCAGCAACTTGTCCTGAGGAAGATTTATCATCACAAACACCAACTCAAACTATCTGACTCTACCTACCAGCCTCTTGTTATGGAAGCTTTACATTGAGAGGGTTTACTACAGAACAACCTCACCATACTTAAAGTTTGTATTTCATTTCCTCTGATATCTAACTTGTTAAATTATCATATAACACCTCCACTACCTCCCAGCAGTTACATCATTATATAAAGTTTGTTTTGTCATCACTTCCATCAGTAAGAATGAATGAATGACAGCAAATAAAAGGAGATTTTGTGTTTGCTGGTTGGTTCCTTACCACTCTAGATAACAGACAAGTGAGAAAATTTCCACATAAATAATGAGAGATAAAGGTAACTTGTAAACCTAATAGATGACAACATGTGTTACTCACTGGGACTTTCTTCTGAGTGACACACACCGCTGTGTCTTCTCCTTTACACGACACTGATGTCAGACCCCCTTGATTGATGGCCTTAAAAGCATACTCTGAAATATACACAGAGCATTATTATATGAGCCATGAGTCAATACACTCCCACACATGATAACAACTGTACCAACAAGTAAATAAACAAGAACAGTCACTGTCTGCTCAACATACTCCCTAGAGCTACATTCACCAAACACGGACTATATAGTACATCTTGTATTTAACGGCCATAAAATACCATTGGTCTTGGTTTATGTTTGGTGAGTGAGGCAACTTCCCAAGGTACCAGATACTGCTGGTGCGTTATACAATTAGCCGTTAATAAAATAAACCAAACTAACCTCACCTGCACCTCAACATGACTATCAAGTAATGTTCCTTCCCAACATTTGGGGATTACAAGAAACTGTTGGTCTGCAGTGAACCAACCACAACATCCTGCCAACAGCGGAGGTAAAATATTATCTTTAGTCTCCTTTACAAAAGATGACACAAGTATCTTACATTAGGTTACACTATAGGTTAATTTGGTTATTTTATAAATGATCAACAGCATAAGGCAACAGTACCTGATGCTTCAGCAAGTTCCCAAACTTGTCGAATGTGAGCAAAGTTACTAGTGATTTACACCCATCGAATACAAGCTTACCGTATCCAAATGTACCGCCCATATACACAAAGGTACGGTAATATATTGTCGACATTAGTGTCTCTAGCAGCTGTAGGACACGTCACCATGGAAGATAAAGGCTTTCTTACCTCATGAAGAAGCCAAACAGTGTATGAGGAATACATGCATGATATATCTTTTACTATTATTGACGTCTGTTATCAACCGTGTTGGTATCTTGTTGAACTTACCAATATAGATGATTATATTACATGATTACTGTAAATTAGTTTGGTTAATTTCCTGAATGATAACTCATCTGGTCTGGATCGACCTAAGACTCAACACTAACATAACTACAATATTTACATGTACAGTGGACCAACATTAATTATTACTTGTACAGAAGCTATATTGACGTACATAATGAACCAATTTAAACTTCTATGACTCTTGCATTAAATAAACAACAATCACCGTCATATTGCCCCAGCCCGGGTGCTGTGTTGACCATCATCTGTGGCCGTTTATGAGTTACTTATCAACAAAAACCAACTGTATATAAAGCATTAATCTGTCCATCAACTCACCAACTTGGTAGAGTCTTCCTTCAGGGGAGAATATAGTAATATGACGGTCAAACCCAGCACTAGTACCCCGCGCCATCCTCGGTGTTGTCAGTGACTGTTTACTGCCGGCCCAAACCCTCGACTTGATCCTTTAATTATTATACTACATATATTATATTATTATGCCTAAATATATATCATTTATAAAACTATATTTAAAATGTATATTAACTTACTTTCTTATTTCCGTAATTTTTTCTTGTATAAAATATAATTAAAGTCAAGGATTCGTTAAACAGACCGGTCGCGGGGTCAAAATAGAAACATAGAGGTACTGGGTAATATGTTAATACAAATGTGTTGGTGTAAATGAAATTAGTTAAATTATTTATTAAAAATACCATTAAATAACAGTAAATAAATTATTCAAAGATTATCAATTAAAACCCAGTCAACTAAGAGAACTAAATAATTTGGGATAAATGGCCTCTCTGGACCTTCAGATTGGGCAGGAAGTCGCAATAGACAGACATACCCAGTGTAATTAACTAAATAGATGGATATTAAGTCAGAGAATCACTCAATGCGTACACAGACAGTGCAGACAACGGCAAACAGTTGGCCAACGTGACGAAGACGACTTGTAATGAAGTAAGTTGATTTAGCCATAGTTACCTAGACAACACCTAACACTATGTCATTATGTTAGTAGTGAACTGAGCCCATGTAAACTTGTATGTATACCGATTGATCGACAGTAGTTAATACCATCAGCTGGTCGATGTGTTAACCTCAGCTTTATCTTCGACAAAACTTTAGCTTTCGATAATGGGATCAACAGCAAGTCTGAATTGTCAAATGTTCTTAAGATTATTACTTCCAATTCTTTAATGACTGTATACGGATTTTTGGATCACCAGAAGATTCGCCTCACGTTGAATTCACCTGAAGTTTAGTCACCCTAACGCTAGCCTAACCTAACACTAACCTAAGCTAATATATATTTAGTCGAACCTATCCTAATATATTTAAAACTAACCTAAACATAATGTAGCTCAAACATTGCCTACTCTAACTTTAACGTAACTTAAACTAATCTAATGATAATACAGTAATGTCTTAAGATTCTCAAAAATCCCTAAGTCAATTTTCTCCTTAGCTTAGAGTCCCAGAAAACATCTAAGTGACTCATCTAAGTATGGAGGTCATTTATGGCTTCCTAGACTAAAGAGACTTAATATTCTTTATTTTCCATTAATGGGTTAAAGTAACGATTAATTCTCACGATATAGGATTGAAGATTAACGAAAACTTTTAGAAATATATTTTTTGTGTTGTTCAAGGTGATAATAATTACTAAAGTTAAATACAAACTTGTGAAAGATAATTGATTTTACTTTTTCGATGGTTTGGGTGAAGACAAATGAACGTTGGGTGAATTTACGTGGATAAATGTGAAAGCATGGAGGCTACAGGACTGAGGTACCATTTATAGAGGCAGGCTTTTGTCTTGCATGGTTTTATTCACACCAAACAACCTGCACTAAGACAGCCTAATATAATGTCTACTGTATTGTATATTTTGTACCCAAACAGTTGTACAGTATCTCATTTTATGTAATTAATGATGTACTAATGTAATTTATTGATATAGTATACGTGTTTAGATATAATAGTTGTTGAAGCGTAGTAATTTGTAATTCATTATAACTTCATCAAAATTAAATCTCGACTCACAAATCAAAACAATAGTTCTACACCTTCACTTGACTCCCTCACTTGACTCCGAGGCGTTAAATGAGTTTTCACTGATTCAATATACCAGCGTGTGTGTTAGGGGCTGTTTTCTCATCTTCCACCCTCAGTCTGGCTTGTTTTTTTGGCCTCTGTTTTTTTCCATTTCTCGAATCGAAGTGAAAATGGGAAATGCTGCTGATGGGTTTGTTTATATTATGATTCGTGGCGGCGGAGCGGGGTGGAGGGAATTCCACTTTATACCAATTTCTGGTTTATTTTTCAACAGGGGAGAAAACAGGACTGGTCAGCCGTGGTCTGTTCTCGTTATTTTTTAGTAAATCATTTTCTGGATCGCTGTGGGAGCTGAAAGCCGAGATAAACAGCTATGTTTACTTGGTTGTTGTGATATCAGGCGGCGTCGAGTTTGGTGTTGTAGTCATTGCCTGTTTTTGGGTCTGATATTTGTTTTCGTGGCTTAAATCAGCTCAATACCCACCTGTCTTAACTGAAGGATTAAATATTGATTGACACATACATACATACAGTACATACAGCCAGTCTTCCTGTTACGTAACATACACAGCGGTTAACAGTGGCTTAATACGTCATTATCTGGATTAACATGTTATCAGCGAGTGGGAGTAAGAGCCGCAGTGAACGCTGAATCAACATTACAACACCGGATTAATGTGTTAACACCTACTTAACATGCTAACTGGAGGTGGAGTGAGTGGTGGTGTTATATACGGGTCAGTATTACACACAGTGGGAGACTCAAGACAGAGAAACAAATATACAAACAGATGGATAAAGATCAACAAATAGGAAATGGATAAATAAAAGTGGTTCCCGAGGCACCAATAAGGCAGTGTGGATACAGTGTACAGCGGACTGGGGTTTTTGTCTGACTGCTCTTGACCGCCTCCACTTCCCCAACTGGGTGGTCTGGAAGGGGGGGGGGGTTAGAGACAAAAAGAGATGGAGAGACAGACAGGGCTAGACAAAGAGATAGAGAGAGGGAGAGAGACAAGTGATACAAACAGTCGTGTCAGAGCAGCACCTTCACATGGCCATTGTTTACCTGTACACACACACACACACACACCAGGTGAGTTGCAACACAGGGCTGGATTGTGGCCGATGTAGCCAATACACTTGCATTGCTTAAAAAATGTGACCGATGCAACGGTATCAAATACATCTGTCAGATAATTGACCTATCGGTAACGTGATCTGATTGTCAGTTTTGTCCTGCGTGGCCCACCAGCTTCTGAACATAACTGTCACTTTCTATACCTGAGTGGCAAGTTCTCTGATTTTCAACTCCCAATATCTCGGTTATGAGTAAAATGCGCCAAAAGTGTCATAGCTGAAAACCGTCTATTGTTTATCTGAACTTAGCATTAGAAAAAAACCAATATCGAATAATGTGAGTTGTGTTGCATAGGCTGAGTTGTGTTGCATAGGCTGAGTTGTGTTGCATAGGCTGAGTTGTGTTGTATAGGCTGAGTTGTGTTGCATAAATATCTTGTATAACACCTGAAGAATGGCCCCCTCCCTCCTCTCCTCAAAGAAAGTGAATGAATATACCAAGAGCTTTTAAAACATAAGATTATATTATGATTTTTTTTCTATGATTTATCAATGAATTATTTCCTATCAATAAAATATATATAATTTATGGTTTGGGTTAGAGTGCGGTATCTTGTTAGGTTAGGTTAGCCACTAGGGCGATACAGGCCGTAGGAACACCCTGAGGACGGCGACAACACGACCAAAAATATATTCGCCAGTGTCTTAAAAAGTGTTGATGACGCCGACTCCCTCTTGAGTACAGCTGTTGAGAATGTCAGGGGTTGAAGACGGCCTCTCTCTCTCTCCTACAGCAGCCAAGTCCAACACCAAGTACTCAATTTTAGCACTCGAGCCTAGACCCCAGCACTCAACCAGTATACCTGATCCTTGCACCTAAGCCTAGCACCCAGCAACCAAGCCTAGCACCCAGGAGGGACCAAAGCCCCCCCGCTAATACCTAATGATTAACGCTCCTAACATGGCTATTCAATTACATCAAAGCTGAGACTTGTTCAGTGATTTTATTAGATGTAAAGCAACAGTAATGGCCAGTGTGTATAATGAACTACACCCAGCCAGAGTATCGTGTGTTAGTGGGGGTGTATTTAGAGTGTTGTTAAAGAGTCCCTACACCTACAAGAAGTATACAATACATAACTCTGAGGCGTGGGATATATCAACACACCTCCAGCCATCGCCCCGGATTAAACGAAGTAAACAAAAAACGTAGTATTATTTGTTTACATACATTCATTACCGCAAGTCTAATAATGGAGAAACATAATTTCTTTCTTTAGTTAGTTAATTATGTGGTTGGTTAGTTAGTTAGTTAGTTAAGAGGAAGTGGAGAACTGATAGACTGTGAGATGTAAATATGCAATGTTGTTGACGAGTTGGGCTGTGGTATGAGTAATGGTGGCTGGCCTTGCATTGTGCAGAAGTTGTCGGCCTCGCCTCCTCCTCCTCCTCCTCCTCGCCTTCCTTACCTACACACACCTGTCCTTATTACGCAACACACTGCACACGCCGAAAAAAAAACCCGATTATATTCTTTTTAACCTTATAAGGGCAAGTTAGTGTCTCGGAACTGTGTCTAGTGTTTAATATTGATAACGAAAACTGATCTGATAAAAATACGTGTTCCTTCACTGCCCCTATAAGGTAATGGCTATAGTTTATATCAATATTCTACTATATTACCCAACACACTATAATCATGGGAGAGAGAAGTGTGAAATTATTACGCTTGATGGATTATAGACGTAATTTTATAAGTGTATAAGCCATCTTGTGACGTAATCATCATCATATACGATATCTTGTGAGAATTTTCCTCATATATTAGTGAGAACAGCGTTAAAGAATTCGAGTGACCGAAGTATTGTGAGACATGACTGAAGTGTATTAGTGGAGCATTATGAGACACTTAACATGACTGAAGTGTATTACTGAACCATTATGAGACACTTAACATGACTGAAGTGTATTAGTGAAGCATTATGAGACACTTAACATGACTGAAGTGTATTACTGAACCATTATGAGACACTTAACATGACTGAAGTGTATTAGTGAAGCTTTATGAGACACTTAACATGACTGAAGTGTATTACCGAAACATTATGAAATATTATGATCACAAGTAAACAAAATTTAATATCAAAGGAATTTAAGTAAAAATAAATTAATTAAAAAACTAAAATGATTTTATGTTTATTAATTTATTTATTGAGGTGGTGAAGGTAAGGTGGTGGAGGTGGACCTTGATGATGTGATGGTTGGAGTCTCATATGGTCAATAATGGTGACTAATACTTGAGTTATGTAGACACACACACACACACACACACACACAC